GCTTTGCTTCAGTCCCACAATTGGCATTTAGTGCTGCTGCCCTCCAGACGCTCCTGCCAATTCAAGGTGACCAAAGGCACAGAAAGCTTCCGCATTGAGATCCTCTTTGGGGTGCGGCAAGGCGACTCGGACGTCTTTGTAAGCAGCCAGCCTAGGGAAGCCTACACGTCAAGCACAGTGTGGCCGGAGAGCTACGCTGTGGCAGAGATGAAGTTCTTCAAGTACATTGCCAGGCGGGCTCCATCTAACAGCTTGCACCTCAAATGCCTGCAGTTCTTCACTCGCCTGCAGCTGGGCTTAGGCTTTTCCACCTATGCCACCAAGACCATTGTCATGCACCTCCTGAACATCGTACCCGTGCATGAGTGGCGCAGGAGACATTTTGTGAGGCGGCTGCTGGACATCAGCGAGAGCCTGGGCACATGTGTGGAAGTGAGACGCCTCAATCACTTCATTTTTGGCAACCGGAGGCTTCCTTTGGAGATCTGTTTGCCCCCTGAGGTCCTCATGGCCAGCTCACGCAATCTCTTCCATGACCTGGAGATGGATCCCGTTGCCCACTCCCAAGCCATGAGTCAGTACGTGGATCTGCACCGATGGCTCAAACAGATCCTGAACAATGAGCAGTGAGAGAGGGTCCCGTGCACAGAGCTGTGCCTGTGGCGCTCACACTTGGCGGCAGAGAATAACCTGCCAGTGCATGGGAGAAGAGGGCAGAATGTGGCATCCAGAGAAGGAAGGACAAACGCTGGCTAGCAGCACTGTGCCAGCAGCAGCAGCAGCAGCAGCAGTAGTGTTGTGTTGAGAGTTTCCCCAGCACTGCATTCAGAGATGACCACCTTGCCCTCAAAGACCAAAGAGCACTCAAGAGGAAATACTATTATTCTTTCTTCTGTGCTCTGCGCTCTGTGTGGAGAATCTACAGCCCAGGATGAAACTGGCTCAAACCTGTCCAGCTTCAGAAAAATATCTGTGCAGGTGATACGAAGTGTGCAGGACACAGAGAAGGCACCGCTCAGTCAGTGGTGGCAAATTGCTGACACACCTGTCCTCTAGTGCAAAAGCGCACTTGGGGAGTCAAAGCAGATGTAGCTGATGAGGCCGTGGCCAGGGGATGTGTGAGAGAGAATGGCATTGCCAGCAGGACTGTGACTGCCCCCTCTCTTTCTTAGAGTCCATTTTCCCTCACAGAGCAACACTTGGTGGAAAGATGCCGATCTCAGACTCCCCGAGGAGGGAATTTTTGAAAGGACCACAGTTGGGATCATGTGGTCCAGGGCTGCTCCAGCAGGGCATTCCTGCTGTGCATTGCAAGGGATTGTGTTCAGACGGTTCCTGACTCTCTCTCCGGTGAGGGAGAGTCCACAATCTCTGGGCAATGCCTGGGATCCTTCAACGGACAGTGTTTGTCCTTGTCCCCAGAAGGGAAACCTTTAGGTCAGCATTGTACCAACTGTGTTGGAGCTGACTTAAAATATTCTATAGATAAAAATCTATCTCTTAATTTCATATATAAAAATATATCTAATGCATACGTATGATATAGAGTAAAGTTTATCAGTGATCACATATAATAGTAAAATAGAATAAAACAATTTTTGAATTTAAAGAATATGAATGAAACAAAACTGTAATTATTATATCACAATACTAATTAATTTGAACTGATCGTATATGTAATTATGTTTAAACAATTCAATGTAGTACATGATTATTGTCACTATCTGTTGAATCACATATTAATGCATTGATATCTGGAAAGCTTTTCATAAAATAGATGAATTTATGACATATATAACGTAGAGATCACTATTTCCCACATATGGTATTTATTTTTATGTGCAAGGAAAGCCATTGATAGTGTCTCTGTCATTTGGGGACACAAAATTACGCTTTAGAGTTAGTACATTTATGTCTGCCAAGCCAGAAACTGCTTAGCTCGTGATTCAATAAACTACAATATTCCAGAATGTGTATCGTGCTAGACTTGATTGATCTCAGGCAGACCTATGGTATTGGTAAATCTGAGTTGTGAGTCTGGGCTTGTGCACGGTGTCCTTGAAGTCAGCCCAAGGTTCCAGGGCTCTAAGGGGTTCTAATCAGAAATTCGGCCCAGCTGCCCCCGGCCCCTGGGATCACAGAATCACAGAAGAGCTGAGCTTGGAAGGGTCTTTAGAAATCATCTTGTTCCAGCCCTGCTGCCCAGGGCAGGGACAGCTTCCACTAGGCCCGGTTGCTCCAAGCCCCATCCAACCTGGCCCCTGTGATCACTGCCAGGGCTGGGGCAGCCCCAGCCGCTGTGGGCAGCGAGGGCCAGGGCCTCAGCGGCCTCAGAGCCGAGAATTTCTTCCACATCTGCAGCCTGAGGCCGCCCTGTGTCAGTGGGAAGCCACTGGGCCTGGTGCTGTCCCTGCGGGCCCTTGTACACAGCCCCTGGGCAGGTGTGTGCTGGGCCCGTGCAGGGACTGAAAGGCTGCAGGAAGGTGCCCCCGCAGAAGGCCTTGGAGAGCCCTGGGGCCAGCAGTGGCACCATGAGGGCAGCAAGCAGGGCCTGGTGTGGCCGTCGGGGAGGGAGGGCACAGGGCGGGCGCTGAGGCCGTGCCAGCTGCAGCTGGGGGCTCTGGAGTGTGGCGGGCAGAGAGAGAACCGGGGGAGATGGGTGCAGCAGCGAGGCCACGGGGTTCTTGATGTGTTAGAGACCAGAGAAGAGCTTGAGAATGGTCCCTGCAGGGGCAGGGTGTCTCCTTGTGTGCATAAACCTTCTTGACACCAGAGGTTTATGTCAGGACAAGACATCGCAGAGTGCTGGTATAGTATTGGAAAAAATGGACAGGCCACGGCGCATAGGATACAATTTATCCAAATTACGCTGAATTCCTAAGCTGCCCCAATGAGAATACTGCCTTCTCCTTTGTGAGCTTATTCCAAGGCTTTTCATATGTGAACAGGCCCTGCTTAGATGATTTCACCACAGAATCAAATTATACAGCATCCATTCTCCATATCTATATTTCTATATCCTGCAGCCTAGGATGACAGAATTGTTTCCTGATACAGCCTGTTGAGTCGCTCTGAGCTCGAGGTTTGCAGCAGAGGGGCCAGGGCCGTTGCATGGCATTAACTACAACAGTGCTCTGTTTTTATTGGATATTTTATCCACATTTGCCTCTGCTGGGTTCCATTCCATTTGCTCCAGTGGCATTCCTGCTTTGAATTTCTCCAGTTTATCTTTAAAGTTACTTTCACGTGCCTTTTAGTTTTTGTTGGGCCTAGCCCAGCACATTTCAGTAGTCTAAGGTTTCTTCATCAACCAGCCTCTTTCTCCACAACCTTGTTGCTGTGATTTCATGGATATTTCACAGGCAACTTTGTAGCTCAGTTGTCCCAGAGGTGAGAGGCAACTACGTAGTTATAACATTATTCAAGCATGGTAGGCACGTGTGGACAAAGCAGGATAGGGTTGTGGGGTTTTTTTCTCTTTCAGTTCATATCCTATAGGAATATTTCCACTGCACTTAACACAGGGATGTCTGACTGTATGTCCTGACCTGTTTGCCAGGAGATCCAAATGATGTCAGGGCTGATATTCCTTCCTTCTGCCAAGCTGTAGTCGATGAAAATAGGCAAGGACATCTCCCATCGAAGCTGTAATTTTAAGAGGGAAATGTGTATTCAGGGTACTTTCTTTGCCCCATGCTGAGCATGCCTAGAGAAGAGGACAGTGGCCAACGCTTCATGGATGGCCCCAGAGACAGACCTTTGTGCTATTGCTATTTTTCTTGAAGGCACTTGTATGGCAACTGTGAGGATAAGAAACACTGAAAGAGGGAGTGCAGCGTGGAATTAATGATTCCATCGAGGAAAGTGCCAGTCAAAAGTATCAAAAATTCAAGTGCAACAGAAGAAGCCCAGCACACATTGACCTAGCAACCCTCTTGCCACATGCCTTCATTTGATTTGGACCTCCTAGAGAATTGAGGCTTTGCCCAAAGTGGGACCTTGCTGAAGACAAAGGCCGGGGAAGGGCTCTCACTTGTGCTGCCAGTGCCATGGAAAGGCCCAGAAGGAGAGGGCGTTTCTTGGGTGCAGGGATCCCATCTTCAGAGTCTGGCCTTCAGGTTAGCAAAATCCTCACGGACATGCTGGCACATGGGCAGGGGGATTTTAGAGAAAGTCAGCAAATGGAGTTAAATCAGAATGAAAATGAGTAGAGCAGGAGCATTGATGTGCCTGAGGAAGGAAGGCTCTACTCAGGGATCTGGCCAGGTGGAATTGCTGGGTCAAGTGCACCTGTATGAGACAGAAGGCGGCAAAATGCTGTGTCCTGCCCTTTGGTCTTTCCCACCCCATGAAATGCAGCAGGCTGGGGGAAGAGGGGCTGGAAACTGGCAAGGAGCCAATGGCATGCCAGCTTCTGTCAGAACCAGTGAGGCCAGCAGGAGCAGAGCAAGGACTGTCCTCTCCCA